CTGGCATTCTCTGAACTTTTGAGGTTGCTTAACAACATGAACTATCCATTTCACGGCTTTAAGACTCAAACTAACTCTCCTAAACAGGTTCTTACTGTATTCGACCCAGTCAAACTAGATTTCAGACCTTAAAATTAATCTTGTGATTTCATAAGATTTAAACCCGTTGAATGTTAACTAAGTTTCTGAACAATCAATGATGAACAATTGAGGAGAAACTACAAAAGAAAACTCTTTTTTCCAAGACATAACAGGTATATAAACAAATTACTTAAATCCCATTGTTAGATTGAAAAGTCAGTGGAAAAATGCGAACTTCTTTCTCTCTCAGACACTCCAGTACATTTCTTTCTTTTGAACCGAGAGTCTATCAGAAACAGCTTCTCTACCCAACAAAGGTAGAGGTAAGGTCTACGTACATCCTATACTGCCAGAGCCGGGATTATACTGGGTATGTTGTTGTACACTCCAGTACACCCCTATAAACATACAAGTATTGTAGAAAACCCCAAATGCAGATATCCAAAAACCTCAGAATCTTATAAAATAGACTGTAATAATCATTCTCAAGAGAAAAAAACAGTTAATTAACAAAGTCAATGAACCACTACTGAAAAAAAAACAGGGGCCAGCCCGGTGCATTAACCTCCCGCTATACACAGAATCCGAGGAAGGGCCAGACACACAAGATTCTACCCGTGACCCATGCTCCCCTTGATGGTCAATGAACCACTACTGGGATATGAAAAAATCAAAACTTTTTAGAAAAAGCATAAAGCGAAATAAGAAATGGGTACCTGAAGAAGTGGAAGGAGCCATGGAAAGGGAAAAGGTGGAATTAGGAGAAGAGTAAATAGCTGAAAATACATAAACCGAAGAGAAAACAATTCCGATCAAGACAGTAGCATAGATCGTCAAGAACAATGGCTTGGAATTCGCCATTTCCTTAAATGGGTTCTCCCAAGCCATCTTTTTTCACTCTTAAATCCTCCTAATCTATTCCATTCTTGAAAACCCAGATGAGAAAACAGAGGAATTAACTATATTTTTGAGGATTTTGTGGGAGTTTTGAACTAGTGATTTAGTAGTATAGCAGCCATCAAAGGTGGCGAAAAGTCAACCGCCATCAAAGCTGTCTGAAATCGGAATCTGTGTGAATAGAGATTAGTATTATTAATTTGATTGATTAAATAAGTAATGAATTATTGGATTAAGTAGAAATCGTGCTGCTAGTGGAGTAGTAATATTTGGATCGGTGCTCATCTTTTTCTATATTTCGGTCTATGACAGATAGTCACATGCTACAAAACAAAGAAACAAATTTGTACTCGACTGGTAAGTAATCTTTCGTTTTTGTGTTTTGGGTTCGATTTTTCTTGGATATGAAATAAGCTTTGTTACGGTGCACTTTATCTCCAATGTGAGATTTCTCGAATCCCCCCGATTTAGTGAGGTTTTTAGTTTGAGTCTTTTTGGATACGGAGTCATCTTTGTTATGGAGCGTTTTACCTCTAATGTGAGACTTTTCGGAGCCTCGACTCGAATCCAGATTTAGTCCAAGTCCAATGTGGGTACCGATACGGTATGGGGAAAAGTTTTGCAAATAGCCACTAAAAATAATTTAATTAGGGTTCATAGTTATAGTTTGTTAGTTACGATTTGTAGCTACATGTTAGAGGGATGAGAGAGGCAAGCGAGATTGGAAGGAGGAGGAGACAGGGCAGAGAGTGGAGAGAGGCGAATTGTATTTGTATATTTGTCATTAGGGGTGTACATGACCAAGTTGGTTTGAGTTTTTCAAATATCAAACCAAACCATTTGTGTAAAAAATTTAAATTTATAAACCAAACCAAACTAATAAAATTTGGATTTTTTCGGATTTTTCAATCTCGGGTTGGTTTGAATTTTTCAAATACCAAACCAAACCATTGTGTCGAATTTTTAAATTTATAAATCAAACCAAACTAATAAACCTAAGATTTTTTCAGATTTTTGAATTCTTTCGGTAAAGTTTGCATACAAACATATAATTAACTTGTGCTCCAAATATTTCTTTAGTCCAATCAAAATACAATTATCTAAGGTGTTTCTTAAGAAAATAACACAAAATATGAGATGAGTACTGATGACACTAAAATATTCAATAAAAATAATAATGAAATCATCATATAAAATAAATATTGCAAAGTCATAATGAAAATGATTATAATTTAATAAGCATTAGTTACAATACTAAATATTTAAGGAAAATTAAATTAGATTATGTATTTTAATTGTCTAAGCTAATGTAAAACTAAAGAACAAATATTCAATATTATTGTCATTCTTAGAGTTGAATTGATTTTCTTTTTGCATTAGTATTAATTTGATTTTGATTTAAGTTTTATTATTACTATCAATATCTATGAAGTATAATCTTTATTGGATCATTCCGAATTCTTAGTTTTAAACTTGAAATAATATATTAAAAGATAAAAACTATGAAATAGTATAAGAAATATTTTAAAATTATATCAAAGTAAATATTTTTATGTATAAAATAAAATTTTAAAATTACATATATAATGTCGGTTTGGTTTGGTGTCGGGTTGGTTTTTTTTAGTTAAAACCAAATCAACCCAAATATAGTCGGGTTTTTTTTCCAATACCAAACCAAGTCAAACCAAACCACTAATCGGGGTTTTTTTCGGTTTGCGGTTTGGTTCGGTTTTCGGTTCGATTTTGTACACCTCTATCAGTCATATAATTGTATATGTATAAGAGAGAAGAGAGGAGAGAGAGGATTTGGGTCCATTGGGTACGAAATTGTCTTTGTTAGGAGCACTTTACCTTCTATGTGAGATTTTTCAGTGCCCCTCCGATTTAGTGAGGTCTCTGATTTGAGTCTTCTTAGATAGAAAATCATTTTTGTTAGAGAGCGTTTTACCTTCAATGTGAGACTTTCTAGAGCCCCAATATGAATCCAAATTTAGTTGAACTTTGATGAGGCAGGGGATAAGAAACCAAAAAGGAAAAAAGGACCGAAAAGATAATGATATATTTTTCTATTTAATTGTAGTAATATAATTTTAAAATGTGTGTACTATTATTTTATGAAATAATTAATAATCATATCAATATCAATATGACAATTCTATGATATATTTTAGATCATAAGTTTTTTTTTCAAAAAAAGCTTCTTAAATTTTGTAATCAACTCAAATTACATTACATAAATTAAGAAGTAAAAAAATATTAATTATTTGAAAAATTAACCAATGGCTAGTGGTACTGGTGAGACTTTTCTGATGAGATTTATCATAGGTAAAAGAGCAAAAGCCATTTGGTGTGTTATAAATGAAGGAAACTATGAAATTATAGTAATCTAATCCTTTTGGAAGAGTAGTAAAGGACTTGTATTATTAGATGCTCTTTTCCCCTTTGCTACGACCGCTTTACTTTTCTAATTTACTCTGACTTTAATATGGGTATCAGACACATGGAATAAAAAAAATTTAAAAATTCTTTTCAATTTAATTTATTTGCCTTATGATTTAATGATTAGAGTGTATATGAAGAAAATATGTGAGATATATTTATTAATTTGATATAAATACAGATACGAAAACATTGGAAAATAAATTTTTTTAATACTTTTTTCCTATCTTAGCCCAAGCCAACCCTATAAATGTATGTACAAGCCAACCCTAAAAATGTATGTACAAACCAACCCTAAAAATGTACTGTAATGAAAAACAGTCTAGCTTGAGAAATTATTACTATCATTCAGCTAAAAGTAAAGAGTGGTTTTGTAATTAATGAGAAAATCCATTTAGGAAAAGGAATACTTTGCAATAATATAAAAAAGGAAATTAGTGGTAATTAGCTGCTACCAAAAATATACATATTTTGCATGTTACCCATGACTAACACATGTCAGTGGTCACATGACACCTTTTGATCTTATATACTAATTGATAAGAATTTAATTAGATTCGTATTTTCACTCTTATTTTTTTCTTTTATCGAATTATTTTGTAATATTTTTACTTGAGCTGAAGATCTATCAAAAACTTTTAATTTCCAAAATAGGAGTAAGAATGTATACACTATTCACAACATACCCCACTAATGAGATTATATTGAATATGTTGTTATCGTTATTGTCGTCTATAATATATGTGACCTGAAAAATAAAGCAAGTACTATGTTATAACAGGTTGAAATATTGTAATTGTACATAAATATTTTAGGCTTATAAATATATGGAAAGCCCTCTTGAATTTGTCAAAAAAGAACTACGTCTAATTTTAATTTAATAACTAGATACATGATAAAGCATACTTATATGAAACTGTTTCGTTACAAAATTTTTGTGTATTCTCGACTCTCAAGTACCCAGTATGTAAATAAGTTAACCATTATATAAACAAAAACACTTAATTGCATGATTGACCCTTTTGATGACTGGTCTTTAATTGTTGTCCTTCAAATAGATGGATCTTTTATTTTTGCCTCTAGAAATCAAACTCGGGTCTATCTGAGCATAAATTCTTTAAGAACGCAAGGAATAACTTGTGAAATATTATGATGAAAAAATATAAACTTATGCCCAAAAAAGACCAAAGTGTAAAACAAGTAATTTGGGATAGAAACATAGTAGATTGAAATGTTACATTTTTTTGGATCTTCTAGTCACTATAAAACAGGGGGGAAATCATATATTCAATACAACTTCTAAAAAATAATGTTACTTTGTTGTTTTCATTTCAAATCTTTGTGTTTGAGAGGTCAATATAGACCCTTGTGCAAATGTTTATTCACAATCACAAGCATAAAACAATACAATAAGTTGCTTTCACCCCTTTTATCATTGTCAATGCAACATATTGCCAAATTCATGAATCTTTGTTATCATCCAAGCATAACAATGCAAAAACAAAAGAAAGAACCAAATGTACATGTCTATATGATTGATTAAATTCAAGTACTATAGTTCTTGATCGAACGTGAATCCCAACATGGGATTCCTTGGATTCTCCAAATCCAATCCAAGAAGTTATTGGATTGCTAGTGCAATAACTCTTGTTATCATTCTCTTAATCATCTTAAAGAAATTGATAGTTTATCTAGATTGTAAAGGCAATAAGCAACTTTCAAAAACCAAACCTGATGAAGAAAATCAAGTTAGTGTTGATTCAAATGGTACTATTATAAGAACTTATGCACTAGAAGAATTGAAAATGGCAACCAAAGACTTCAAGATTCGGATTGGTGTTGGAGCAACTTCATATGTTTATCTTGCTGAGTTTGGAGATGGAAGATTAGGCGCGGTGAAGCGTGTTATGGAGGAAAGAGGTGGAGAAACAAAGATGTTCTTGGATGAAGTCTCTGTCTTGCTTAGGATATCACATCCTAACTTGGTTGGTTTAATGGGATTTTGCTTGGATAAAGGTAATCAACTTCAATTTCCTAGATGTTGTTGAAGTGTGACTGTCTCGTCTAAAAGTGAAATCCGTTAGAGAAAACACACTTTTATGTACTTCACATGTGGTCCTAGTTCTTTTTTTACGGACTAACTACATGTAAATTTGTTTTGACAATGGGTGGAGGTGAAACTCAAGCACAGGACCTTTGTCTGCTCTCTTACTGATACAACCACATGACCTGTTTAAGACCTATTTACTTTTTTTGGCTACTCTACGATTCTAACTTTCCACATGACCTGTTTAAGACCACAAATTTAAAAAAAGGACATTTTTGATACACTTTACATATAGATTATCACACTATTATGTTGTAGTTAATGTTCTTTTTTTCTTTTCAGATGTCTTGCCATGCTTTCTTTTGTATTTTGCCATGATTTATTCACTTCTGTTATTTCTCTATCGAAAACAACCTCTCTACCTCTCAAGGTAGGGGCAAGGTTTGCGTATATTTTACCCTCCCCAGTGGGATTACATTGGATACATTGTTGTAATATATGCATAATGCTTCATAACTGATTCAAATTCAGCTTCATTTATCAATTAAAGCAGGAGAACAGTTACTACTTTTGGAGTATGTTCCTAACAAAAGCCTCTTTGAGAGGATGCACACATACCATGGCCAATCCTCTGGTACATTATCATGGTCTAATCGTCTAAACATCGCGTTAGATGTTGCTCGTGCTCTTAACTATCTCCATTCAGTAGCCGATCCTCCTGTCATACACAGAGACGTTAAGTCATCAAACGTTCTGTTAAACAACGATGATCATGCCAAGCTTGCAGATTTCGGGCTATGCAAATTAGGCAATGATGTTATAAGCGCGACTACACCTACTAAAGTAAAAGGTTCACTCGGTTATGTTGACACATATTACCTTAACACAGGACTAGTGTCACCAAAAAGTGATGTTTATAGCTTCGGAGTGTTACTTCTCGAGCTCATTACAGGGCTCAAGTCAGTACAAGGCTCGATGACGCTTGCTGAATGGACTGAGGAATGTAGGAAAAATAATGAGAATGTTGAGGTGTTAAGTGGTATGTTGGATCCAAAACTCAATGGTAATGTAGATATACAACAGTTAAGAGTTTTGGTTGATGTGGCTAATTCATCTTTACTTGAAAATTGTGAAGCAAGACCAAAACATGACACAAATTGTCTATAAAATTTCAAGTTGCATGGAGCCTCAATGTGTACATGAATTACCTGTATAGAACTAAGAAGTGTTTGTAATTAGTACTACAATTTAGATTATTATTTTTTTACCATCGGGTGGTGGTGTCTGATCTCCGCATTGGAGCATGACTATTCTGGATTCGTGTTGTGTAGCATAAATGTAAAACCATCTATCTGCTCTAGTCAATCCTTGTATAGTCATTTTTTGTATAGGAACTCACTATACAAGTGTTTTATTCTGCTTTTCTTGTGAAGCAATTTGGATAATTAATCCAAAAAAACTTAATAGTAAAGTGGTACATAATCTTCATAAACATTATATATTTCAATTTTCAATGCATTTGTGTTGGTTTACTTATAATCTTTGAAGTATATTAGTAGGAAAATAAGTACAGTAGTATTCAATTTTCATTATTACTGGTAATGTTTGCATTATGATAGACTGTCTACGTCACACCCTTTGAGGTGCAGATCTTTTCAACACGGGATGCTTTATACAATGAATTGCCCTTTACTACAGTGCTAAAAATGGGTTATAAATTTTGACATGTCCTGCCCTGCCCCGTTTAATTGTCTACCCATTTAAACAAACATTTGATATTTTATTATTATTTGGCTATTATAAGTAAAAAGATGTTAAATCGTAAGCTTAAGCACACTTCTGATGATAAAAATATGTATTCATATAATATTACTTCTCATAAATAGTGTGTAAAAATATCAAAAGATTTGGTCAATATTTCTGGTTAATTATTATATTGCCCAAAAAAGAAGATAACTGTTATATAGGTGTAATTTTATTTTTTTAAATGTTATTGCTATAATGAGAGAGTATTCTTTTGCCCTTGTGAAATTTTTATTCAAAATCTATTTACAAATTCCTAAAATCTAAAGAAAGAATTAATTCCCTTTTCTATCCTCATATTCAAAATCACTAAAATCCTCCTATAAAATTATGGATCTGACTTTCATTTTTCTTCTCAATCAATTGAAGGTGCATTCTTCAACCTGATTAATTATAAGTGCACCAAAATGACATTTCCTTTAATAATTGTTTTTTTTGTCCTTATACATACCGCAAATTCATTTACTTTTAATCCCAAATACACTCTTCATATCATCAGTAACCTCCCTACAAATTCTTCCATATTGAAAATTCATTGTCGATCTGGAGATGATGATCTTGGAATTCGTACCCTTAAATCTGGTGATCAATTTGATTTCTCCTTCCATGCTCAAGGAAATACTCTTTTTTCTTGTAGTTTCAGCTGGGGTTTAAAAATTAATAGTTTTGATGTATTTAGCAAAGGAAATAAATATTGTAGTATAGTCTATTTCAAGAATGAGCATTGCTATTATTTAATGGGGGATGATGGTTTTTATTTTGCTAAGGGTAATTCTATGCCTCAGCTTTCTGATTTCAAGTTTATAGCTCCATGGTATGATTAAAAAGCAATCCATTTGATTTTCTCCTATAAATTATTACTCCTTTCGTCCGTTTTAATTTATTTGTCTAATTTTCTTTTTAATTTGTTAACAGAAAAATGTCTTTTTTCCCGTTTTAACAAATCTTCTAACTTTTCATATATTCTGTTTATGATCACGAAATTAAAAAATGCCTTAGTACATTAGAGATATCATTAGTTTAAAATCACAAGATCACATGTTTTTACGAAAAAGGGCTTATGTTGACTACATATTCCAAAGAAGTGAGAGTATAATATTCATGTTTAAAGAGCGTTGAATTCTAAAGAATATGCTATGAGAAAATTTTGGAAATAGCAAAGATAATAGACATAATAAGACTTTATATCTATAGTTTTGATAATTATACTTCATAGTTATAGCTTTGTTTGCTATGGAAGTTGCGGTTTGTATATTTCACTTGCCCGTTTGTATATTTCGCTTGTAAATATACAAACAGGGTAATAATATTCAAAGGGAGGTTGCGCTTTGTATGTTTCGTCTGTCCATTTGTATATTTCGCTTGTGAATATACAAACAGAGTAAGTATGTACAATTTCTGTATTTATACATTTAAGAATTTTTCAGAGCTTTATTTTTTATATTTCGCTTGCCAATATACAAACAGAGTTATTTATTATGATTTTTTCACAAATCGTATACAAATAGCTAGGGTAAGCATATATAAAGACTGAATTTATACAATTAGGAACTGAATTATACAAATTCTGAATTTCTACAATCAGGGACTGAATTATACAAATTCTAAATTTATACAATTAAGAAACTAAATAGCAAGAACTGAGAAAATTGTAGCCGCGAATTTATAATTTTTTTAAACTTTAGCTATAGTACATAATATAGAACAAAGATTTACAATTCTGTATGATTTCCCATATATTTATTGAGAAAATATCTTTTAAAACTAAGAGGGTGTTTAGATTGGCTTAAAAGTTGGTCAAACCTATTTTTAAGTCAGTTTTTGACTTGTGGAAGTGTTTGACAAATATAAAAAATAACTTAAAATAAGTTTTAAAAAAAAGACTTAATATAAGTAAGAAAATGTTTAAAATGACTTAAAATAAGTTAAAAATCAAAAGTAGATCTCCCCTACTTTATGTTTTTTTGACTTAAAAATCATTTAAGTTTGACTTTTTATTTTTAAATTAAAAGTTACTTTTTTAAAGCAAATCCAAACGGGCTCTAAATCATTAATACACCTCAAGCTACAAGAATTTCAAATATATTTCATAAGATTTTCAAATTAGTTAGTAAGAAATGGCATTAATGAGATCACTAGTCAACATTTTAAAATAAATATCTATTTTTTCATTAAAAGCAGAATATTATTAATCTTTTTTTTTCTAATTGCATTTACTTAACGCTAGCTCTAAGTTCACAAAGTCAAAGTTTGGACAACTAATATTATCATCAATAATTAATTAGTCTTTATTTATATGAGATTCTAGAATTTGCAATGTCATTTATGTGGGAGCTATTTAATTTATTTATTTTTCATTTATAAAGAACTTGTATTTTAAAAATATATATTTTGACCAATCAAATATAAAAAAAAAATCATACCAAACACACTCTTAAATATGGGTATTATGAAATATGCCTTATAGATTTGTATTCAAAATTTATTAACAAGTTCCTAAAAAAAATAATCAGTTACATATTTATTACATTAGATTAGATCACATTAATATTCATATACATATTCCAATAAAAAAGCACTCCTCCTATAAAGTGAGGGCATCCCTTCCTCTATTTTTTAGTGGAATTCCTCAAAATGACTCTCAACAACATCAAAATCATACTCTTTGTTTTACTTATCATCCAAATAGAAATGATAAATTCATTTACTTTCAATCCTAGATACATTCTTCGTTTTCTCGATAACCTCCCTGCAGATTCTCCACCACTGCAAATTCATTGTAAATTTGGAGATGATGATCTTGGAGTTCAAACGCTTAAAACTAGTGATGTATACCATTTTTCATTCCATGCTACAGCAGAAACTCTCTTTTTTTGCGGTTTTCAATGGGGTTCAAAAAGTAGTACTTTTGATGTATTTAGCAATAAAAGTGAATATTGTAATATAGTTGATTTCGAGGATGAATATTGCAATTATGTAATGGACCCTGATGGATTTTATTTTTCTACTGGGCCTGATCCCAAGTCTTCTGATTTTAAGTTTATAGGTCCATGGCATTGAATCTATTGATATATATATATATATATATATACTAGTAAAGAAAGTCCGGGCGCTGCCCGGGCCCAACATTAATAAAGTTATATTGTTACTCTCTCCGTCCCATATTAGATGAGAATCTTACTAAAAAAAAAAAAAAATCATATTATTTGAGCACTTATTAAATTAGGATAGAATTAATTAATTCTTTTCGATTTTACCCTACAATTAATATGACCATTCCTATATTGTATGTGTATTTTTTGTAACTCATTTCAATGTGCATTGATATAAACAAAGGGTAAAATGGTGAAGTCTTCCAATGTATTAATGATTTCTTAATCACCGTGTAAAGTTGGAAGTGCCCATCTAATATGGGACGGAGAGAGTATAGTTTATGTATTGTTATAAATTTAGTAAAGATTGTTATAATATATTTTGCTCATAAGTGAGCTAATATAAAAACTTATTTGTTATTTGTCTATTTAATTTCAATTTCAAATAGCAAATAAATGTACCGATAAAATTGAGGGTAGAAATGAAACATATTTTTCTAAATTTAAGTAAAAATAAACAGAGTAGAAGTAACATTAGGGTTATCGATAGGACGATTCATTCGGTTATTTTTAAAAAAATTATATCATTCAATTTTTCGGCTATTTTATAATGTATAACCAAAATTAAAATTTTAAAATCATCCCAATCCTAATTTATGTGACACAAGCAGTACAAAAATTAGTCTTTTTTTTGTTGTCTTGTAGATATTTTAAGTTATTATTTATTGTAAATTATAGTACTTTTTATTAAAGCTTTTAATAACATATGTTACTTTTTATGTTTGAGAGTTAAACCAATTTTTTTTATATGTCTTTTAATTTTATATGTGTTTTGTCCTTTTCCATTTTCAAAAACTAATACTCTGTCCATTTCATTTTATATGTCATTTCTTTTTATAAATATATTGGTTATTCCCTCTTCTTATGTCATATATTATGAAATTTGAGAAGTTATTGAAATTTTTATATGATTCTAAAAATATTTTAAATTGTTAGCTATTGTGATTTGTAGTACCTTTTTTTTACAGAATTTTGAAAATAATATTTATTACTCTCTTTGTTCTAATTTATGTGGCACATGCAAAATTTCAAATATTAACCATTTTTTATATGTCTCTTTACTATATTAAGTTGTTAATTATTGTATTTTATAGTACATTTTGAACTTAATTTTTAAAGAATATATGTTATTTTCCCATGTCCCAATTTATGTGGCATTAATTGATAGATTTGTTGGAGTCGAGAGAATTTTTTTGTTAATTATTGTAATTT